TGGGTTGCCTCCTAGTGTGGTTCCTGTAATGCATCTGGCTGAGAGCAACAGGCTGATAGTCCCACGCAGCAAGTGGGCTCAGGGGCTCGTGGCAAGCCACCTGAATGTGCCGCCTGGATTGTACGATGAGGGAGAGCACAAGTAACCTGCGAACGTGTTTTGTACACAAGCATACAACTCCGCCCAGCAGAAAATAGGGGGTAAGGTTCTTGCTGGTACCTCTCTCGGTGGAACAAGTGTGCTGCAACCGCGCAGTTTACCAATGGGTTCCTGGGGTGCATCTGGCGATGAGCAACAGGCTGATAGTCCCATGCAGCAAGTGGGCTCAGGGGCTGGTGGGACACATGAATGTGCTGACTGGATTGTCAGATGAGGGAGAGCACAAGTAAGTAACCTGCGAATGTGTTATGTACACAAACATACAACACAGTCCAGCAGAAAATAGGGGGTAAGGTTCTAGTTGGTACCTCTCTCAGTGTAAAAATTGTGGTGCAACCACGCAGTTTACCAATGGGTTCCTGTCCTGTGGTGCATCTGTCGAAGAGCAACAGGCTGATAGTCCCATGCAGCAAGTGGGCTCATGGGCTAGTGGCAAGCCACATGGATGTGCTGCCTGGATTGCCCGAGGATGAGCACAAGTAACCTTTTAAGAATGTTACACAGGTAACATGCTTCTGCAAACATCCTCTATGTATGCTTTTAATGGAAGCATATAAAACCCACAAAGGAGAATGAGAATGGTCCATAATCTCAGTTGCTATGTGGGCATTACATGGTCTCATTATACGGTAAGTGAGCTGCTTCTCTTGATGTGGTCCCCGTGCTCATTTATCAAAACGTTTGGATCTTAGAGTATCGACATAAACCACGGAATACGCGTTTAACCCGTGTTATTTATCTATAGCTTACAATTAACGGCATTGATAATATGAGGCTTCGTTTATATGAGGCTTGATGCCTTCATGTATGCTACAGTTTTGATGTGGATTCATTAATTCACTAGGGCCATTTTCACCCCCTTGTGTTATTATTTATGATTTACCCGATATTAAAGGGCTGTTTGGAATGCTTTCGTTTTAAAGAGGGTACGTTTCAGACATCTCTGACGAGTTAGAGGGGATGAAAAACGGGTCACAGTAAACTATGGTCGAGTCGCCGTGGTAAGAGTGCGGCTTTTTTTTTAAAATATCTCGACACTTGTCTGAGTGGTTTGTAGCCTTCAAATTCTGGGTGTTTACTGGGAAAAGCCAAAATCGGGTTCAGGGTGCTTGCCGAAACAAGTTGCAGGGCGTGAAAATATCGCGGGCTAGGTGAAATAAGGGCGTGTCCCATGAGTTCATTTGGGAGGAAATCATATATTTTACGTAACATCGACAAAGCCAAAGCGTGTACACTCTGACGTGAAAAACACGCAGCGCGTCAGCACAGCGCCAAACGAAATTGACCCACGCGGACTCATAGCCCCAACCACACAAAAATCGTAATCCTAACATGGCCTCCGAGCGGTTACCCGTTACAGTTCGAATTAATTGTGCCCTGTGCGAAGTTCTTTTTTTTCGCGCAACTGAATTTGCGCGAATTTCCAGATTGGGGTGACGGAATGGAGGACCCAGTACGAGGTAATCTCACGTACCTTGTACGTGGGATAGTACGAACCTCTTGACGTTATTGGCGTCCCATCAGGTACGTCATTGAAGACACATGTCATGCAGGGAAGGGTTACAGAGGGGCACGCCCTAAGTTTGCATGGCGCGAGCACGTCGCCGTTTTTTTTTTTGGGACGTGAACATGAGTTTTGGAGTGAGTGGTCTGTCCGATCCGAAGACTACGAATCGTAATTACTGTACAGCGCAGTGTTGTCGATTCTCGAGCAGTGCGATAAATCGAAATGTCCTAAAGATCCAGGCGCAGGCGTTTCCCGTAGTAGAGTTTGATGTTTATGGGTTTCGCATGATCCTCCCCCAAACATCCACCCCACCGTGTATTGCGTGTGTGATTTCTCCCCCTGGGCGGGATGGAGACATATGAGAGTTGTGAACGCGGCTGGAAACATTTATACTTCTGAGTTTGAAAGAGAATTCGTGAGAGGTTTGTAAATGCAGCATTTTTCCCTTCATATCTACAATGTGGCAGCGTACCCATAATCAGCCCTCCTTTCAAGACGTACACCTGAGCGTGTTTTTCGTACAACTCGAAACGGGGTAGGGCGAATCGATCGCTCGAACTTTCAAACACCAGGGTGAATTGAAAGAAAATTACGAATGGACACCAAGATTCCTCCACGTAGTCCCAATCAGATCGGCCAACCCACCTGCCTCAGCCCGAAGAATGGCCAAGAGCGTTCTCGTGACGCATTCAACGGAAACAGCTGTCGAAATCAGCCACGTTCAACAGCTTGAGTGCATCACAACGAAGTGAGCTCGCACAGTGGACACTGTATCGAAAAAAGTTACTGTACATAGTTCGGTGCATGCGTTACGAAATTAGTTTATCACTGCGGCGGAAATTTTAGGGCAGACATTACGTGGTCTCCTTGTTTGAGTGTTTCATATGCTGCTTACAATGGGAGTACAGTACATTTACTTCTTTTTTTTTTAAATACGTGATTCAACAGGCCAAGGTGGCTCTAGCTGTTGTGTGGATGGAAAGAAATCATTACATCTACAAGTGTGGCAGCCATATCCCGTAACGACATGAGAGATCGCGACGCGAATACAGCACTTGTGTACAGTGTATCAGAAACGCGAGGGTTCAGATCGCACGTCTTTGGATTATGTGCAACACGTCAGGGCTAGTGATTCCAACGTCAATGCATGTGTACAGTACGTTGCCAACGACCGTTGAAGTTTCGTTGCCATTGCGTCGTCAAAGCGCTGGAGACGAGACAAAAGCACGAGTCCTGAAGTTGAAGATTTTCACACTGGATGTAAGAGAGAATACTCTGGCTGGAACGTTTGGACATCACTCCCCCCAAAATGGGGCACCTGACGAATGTGTACATTGGAAAAAACATTGGTTCGTCGAAAAACATTGGAATCCACACTCCTTCAGTACTGTGAAGGACAAGACATCACAGCTACTATGCTTTGCCTAGTAATTCCGTCCGTATCCAACCGTGCTTCTCGGACGGATTCGCCGCCGTCCCTTTCGTTTGGAGATTTTCGGGCAGCTTCCAAATCGGGGTCTACATTGGCCAAATGCACAACTCCACACCACACAGAAAGCACGGCAGGATGGATGGAAGGGAAGGAAGAGGGTTTGGTCAGGTCTCTGGCAGAGCAGATCTCGAGCAGGATTCGTGGAGCAGCCACGCGTACGCGTTGGAAGCACTTGTTGCGGCATTCGTTTGTTGGCATGTTGCCAGCGTGCAAGCTGTGAAACCACTGTTGGTGCCAGCTATCGCATACAATCAGCAATTCGGACACCCCTCTCCCGAACCACCTGCCAGCAGGATCCTCTTTTGCAGGTATTTTTCCTTGCGTACCGGAAACTTTGGGTGGGATACCTGCTAAAACCGGGTCCTGTTTTATGACGAGGCACTTTCGGGCGACCTGTTTCTTTCGGCGGCTGGATCACGCTTTGTAGTTTGGAACCAACCAGCCGAAATTTCCACACCACACCTAAAACGTCCGAGTTTCTGGTTTCACACTATCCTCCACACACCCCGAACCTTCCCCTTATCGTCACAATTTTGGTGCTTGTTTGACACAGACTCGCAGATCATTATGATTTCGGGCCTCGGAAAAATAGCTTGCCTGCTCGAACACTGACTCTCTCACCAATCTGAAATTTATATTTTTGAAATAGGCAGAAACTGACACTTAGAGAGTCAATGATGGAAATGCACTCTGCCGTACTCGGGCTGGTTGGAGGGTTGGGGCGAACCGAAACGGAAGGGTGACTCAAAACGGAAAGAAAGGCCTGCTTGCCACCCACTTCGGATCTTGCACAGCGAGCAATTCTTTCACGCGAGGAGCAGAAAGACGATACACCTGGGCTCCAATAATTTCAAGGCCCGAAATCGGGCGCTCTCGGGTAGTTCTCCTTATCATGTCTGGGACCAAGGGCTGTACAGAGTTAAAAAAAATTTAGAGTAGGTAATGTTTCGGACACTTTTTTGAGGGCGATGACGCTACGAAGTTCGCAACCTGAAAATTTGCCCGACAGACTGGGTGGTGAGCCTGATCGACTGAGGTTTCATTTTTTTTTAACTACCGATGAGGAGAGCGCTGTCAAATCTGTTTGATTCTGGGTGTCTGAAAGATACGGCCGGATCTGGTCTAGGGTTTCTCTGAAACCATTTTCCAGGGCTTATAAATTATTGGAGCCCAGGTGTACACCTAACCACCGCTATTTTCTTTCGGTCTATCTTCAACCCCCACGTGTGCAAAGGAGTAGACACCCTTCAAAACGTTTTTGACCGAGGGTTGTGTCGGACGTCATACGCTCTACGCAGAGTTAGTTCCTGACTCCTGAAAGCTACGCAATGGGATGCGCAACAACAAGCAGACTCCACACGAGCCGAAATTGTCTTACACTCGCCCGATTGAAATCTCCATTTGATGTCATTCATAGTCCCCTATAACGAGGTTTCTAACAGAAAACCCCAAAAGCTGGGCAGGGATTACATGAAAATCGGGAACAGTGCCAAGGTCAGAAGTTAAAAATAGCGGTGGCTAGGTGTAGAAGCATCACTGCGCTGTTCCAGCATGCTTGCCAGCATTGGCATGGCATTCTCCTCCGTCCCTCCCTCCCTGGGCTCGTCGAATCTCCTCGCAAGCACAAACCGGAACCTGGTGATCAAATTGCCCCAAGTGTACACCCACACCCCCGTCGTCGTGACGAACCGAACCAATCCAAGTGCGAATCAACTAGGTTTAGGGCGACGTCTCTTCGCTCACTGCGGTCGAACTTCGTTTCGTCACGGTGCAAAACGTTGAGCATTGATAACCGCTCCTCACCGTATGGAACCGTCCTCAGCCACGATACAAGTTTTGTAAATGTGCGAGATGTGTATGACTCATACACCAGCCCATTTTTAGTCTGAAATTTTGCCTCCAACCAGCTTCCACTCCAAATCTGTTTCCCGCAAATTATAATCGTCTCCAGGACGCTGTGAGAACGTCAGTTCTCCTTTTCTGGGGGCTACAGTAACTGACCGAAGTCCCTCCCTTCCAACGAAGGGACCTGATGTGCCAGAGAAGGAAGCTTAGCGATGACGCAAAGCGTCGTATCATTTATTCCCTCACCAAATGACTCCTCAACTTCGAAAAGGTCACGCTTAGCTCATAGAATGAGCCGCAGCCGATCGTCGACGAAGTTCCTCAAACATATTGATGACTCTCGTCATAGTATACATTGTCATTTGAAGGCTGCTTGGAGCAAAGAGACAGTGACTATGCGCGAGTCGCGCATCGTGAGTACTAAACCACCCGTCGTAGCAGATTCTGTCACGCACACAGAGCTTCGTTCTGGCTGAATCAGCAAGACGTTGCGAAACAAAAAACTGCCTGATTTCCTGTCAACCATGAGCTTCAGGAACTCGTCCCCTTCATCCGCAGATTGGGCCCACAAGCAGCAAGAAAAGCAAGAATCCCTTCCAGGACTCCTTGACTCCGACCATGCACGCGGAGTCTTCCCTCTCCTTCATCCACGGCCGACAGATGATGTTTTTGTGAAGCCTCCACATCATGGTGATCATGCCACGGACCTCGCGCTGCGGTCTGGTTCAGCAGGGTCTCAGCAGGCTCTGCAGGCTGTTGCTACTAGCACTCCTGGTGCCCTTGGTGGTACCCACATTGAGCTACAGCCTGTAGAGCAGAGCTTCAAGGTGGCTGTAGCCGCTCCGAGCCGGCCTCCGGACTCCGAGTCGCCTTTCATGAAGTTTCATGCGCATTCTACGGCAGATCCTTCTACCGTCGCGTGTGGCGGTATGGAAGGTGTCATGACTGTGGGATTTGATGAAGGGGCCAAGCTGGAATCTGCTGACGCGGCGGCAGCACGAAGCCATGCCAGGGATTCGTTACTGTCACAGCTGGAGAAGCTGGAGGCGGAATGGACGGGCGGGGGCACAGCAAAGACACCGCGTTATAGTCACACCATGTTGGAAGGTGATGGTCATCATGTTTCTGCACGTGGGAACATGATGATGGACATGCCGTCTTGCGCGGCAAGGCATGTCAGCTGCAGGCCAACAGGGTGGGGCGTTGGGCGAATCGAGGCGTCTGGGCATGTCTTTGGCGGTGCGGAGCATGACGGGGCGGCGACGGCAAAGCGGCACGGGCATGATGGGGCGGCGGCAGGGCGACACGCGCATGATGGGGCGGCAGGGCACGCGCATGATGGGGCGGCGGCAGGGCGGCACGCTCATGATGGGGCGGCAGGACACGTCCAACGTGGAGCAGCGACAGGGCATGCCATTATTGATCCATCAGGCTATGACATGCAAGGCGTTTTCAGCCACCAGCTTACAAACCCTCCACTGCTCCAGCCACCTCTTGCAAGCGCGCCTTTGCTGAATCATTTCACTGCCAACGCTCTCATCCCTAGCATCCAGACCTTCTTACCCCCGAACGAGGACCCGGCACAGGCAGCACTATCCCCGCAGCGGCCTCTCATGTGGCCTTCACAGTCCACTCCCCCTACTGTTGCTGTCCCTGCGGAGGTAGCAGGAGGAGCAGCAACAGCAGGAGCAGCAGCAATGGTGGCAGCAGCATTTGAAGAAGCAGAAATGGATACGGTATCATCAGCAACCGCAACTGCAGCAGCAGCACCAATCCGTTCGCATCCCGACGTGCAGCTGAAATCTCGCAAATCCAGCTCAACATTTGCCCGGCCTGCTATAGCTGATGCATCTTCTGAGGATATGTCAACTGAGCGAACTTCACATTCCTCGCCCATGGTGCTATCATCCAGCAGTTCTCCATTCGTTCTGGTGGGAAGTCGGGTGATCGTTCCAAGGAGCGCGTGGGCTCAGACGATGGTGGTAAACCACATCGATCGGGTGCACGGGAGTAAGAAGGGCAAACGCAAAAGTGGGACCATGACTGCTGAAGTGATTCACAATATGGAGGAGCCGTCTGCAAGGGGGGATTTCTGTCGCGCCGCTCGGAAAAAAAGTTTCTCTCCGACAAAAGAGAAGATGGTTGCAAGTTGCGAAGAAGAGCTCCCCTCCAAATGCTTGCAAGGAGCCGCATTAGGAAGGAGTAATCAAGCGGAGACCCATGGAGGAGATAAAGCTGTAGTGAGCGCTGCTCCTGTAGGTAGGTCCTTGGGAAGTGGTAAGGCTGATGCAGAGCAAAAGAAAGACATCAGTATAGTTCTTTTTGGGAAGAGAATAGAAATGGATGCTGTACACCCTCCAAAATAGTGCTTGCTTTTCTTTATTCTGTCCCAAATTCATCTTGAAGCTTTTATAACGTGAAAGTCGCTCTTCGGTGTAATTTCGCTTCGCTTTAGCCTCGCAGCCATAGGGACAGCATCGCGCGAAGGAGAGTGCTTGACTGGACGACTTCGCGATGCGTGATGTCTTCGCATGCGAATCCTCGTTATTGCGGTTTCTGCTTTTGACGAACTCAGTTCAGGAAGTTGTGGTGACATGCATATTCCCGTCGCATGAACTTGTGCGATTGTTCGTGTTGCATTCTGATCTGTGTTTTCCCTCCAAAACTAAAATCGGTGTTAAGTGAAGTAAAAACATGCTTCTTCAGTGGCACTGCTTCCTTAGGACGTGTGTGATTGTTTTCTAGGTTCGGAAAACAGGTTGAACTTTATCTGGTTACCAGCTTCGTTAATTTCGCGATAGCTTTGTGACGAAAGACTTTCCTTTTGAAGACGTTGAAAATTCGACCTAGGTTTTCCGATCTCAACTCGAGTAAATGCATTAATGTGGGCGCGTATAGTGAACCGAACGTGTGTGGTTTTGCGCACGTACGACCATTGACGAGTTCTGCGAATCTTGGGCGACGCGTTGTAACCCTCGCGACAAATCTTAGTCATATGTTGAAGTGGCGCGATGTCTACAAAATTATACCTGGTAACCTACATCCCCTACGAGCGGCTCGGCTCACCCCCTATAAGGTCGAACATTCAAATTCGACCTTGGGTGTGTGATTTGACCTACTTGAAATCGCATACGCGGTTCAAAATTCACGTTCAATGGAAGTCGAACACTGTTCGGCTCAAGTTCAAATGCTACATTCGACAAAATAATGCAAACTTTGCCAATTTAAAAAAATCATACAGGTCCTATCTCTGTTTAGATTCGATCGTCTATGCTTTTTTCCGATCGCCGCCAGTCCCAGTTTTGGTTTTCTAGTGCGAGTCCGACGATTATACCTCCGAAGAGCATACCTCCTCGCGCCATTAGCATGTCGAATGGTCGGTCGCCAAGAATCTGTTCACGCACTTGGTTCCTGTGACCGTCTCTCAATCGCCAGCAATTCTTTGCTTGACACAGTTAAGAGTCCGATAACAGTTCCTGTTCGCTTACGATGCGTAACCACGGCGAGATTGCAACAAACGCTAAGCTACAGGTCGTATTAGGGTTCCGCTCTCGCCTGCTGAAAGGCGATCTCGCGGACACGTCAGCGATAAAGCCGGAGGCGGAGAACTTGCTAAAGAAGAAGCTCTTAGCGAAGCAAAAAGTGGCCCTACTTGAAGGAGACGACTTGCGACGCGTGCGACGTGTGCGATGCAGCGAGCGTCTAAGGCGACAGTGGACGTGTTCGGCCAGACACACCCGGCCGTTCCTAACGAGATCATTTCGTGTTACCACTGTGGTTACACTGTAACAGCCGGAAGATTTGCCTTCCATCTGCAAAAATGCCTCGGGAAGGTATGAAAAGAACCAAGGAAAGAAAAAAATCAGAAGATAGAAGCTCTCGTTATGGGTATGAATTTAGTTACTACGCATCCTGAAGAACGATCGTTTGTACCGTTTCTCCAATCTGCGTGAAATCTCGAAGATAGGAGAATGTAACGCGTGAAAGAATCACCATGGCTTATGCGGTTTTCGCCTCTCCCCTTTCCGTCCGGACCTTCCTACTGCTCCTCTCCTCGCTTTCCTTGCGCAGGGTCGCCTGGCATCCCAGAGAACCGCTCTCAACCTCGCTCGGACTCCCAGCCCTCAACCCCAGCAGATTGTACCGAGACGCTCTCAGCAGACGGTGCCGAGACGTCCTTCCGTATCAAATCTACAGCAGCAGCAGCAACAGCAGCAACAGGCGCAGGAGCAGGGTCAGCAGCAGCAGCAGCAGCAGCCAGCACAGCAGCAGCAGTCGGCACAGCAGCAGGGGGAATCGGAGCAAGGCGAGAGAGCAGTGAGACGGGTTGGCCGGAAGCCGAAGAGGACTGTGATTGGCCCAAGAACGGCCAGTGGAAGATTCGCGAAAAAAACACCTCCCACAGAAAGTCCTTCGAAAGTAACACCGCCTAGAGAAACACCTCCCCGAACAACTTCCCCCTGGATAACACCTCCCCAGGTAACACCTCCCCAGATAACACCCTCCCAGGCAACACCTCCTCGGCTGACACCTCCCCGAGCTTTGCCACCAAGGGTGGCGGCGCCTTCAGTAAGAGAATCAGCAGCACGGCTGAGAGAGGGAGCGGACGGAGGAGAGGATGCAGTAGACGAGGCATGTGGAGCAGACGCAGGGAATGCAGCAGATGCGGCGAGTGCAGAAGAATCAGGGAAAACAGAAAAGGCGGCGAATTCAGCAGGAGGCGTGGGAGCGGAGAGAAGGAGGAGGAAAAAGTCAGAGGAAGGCGGGTCGATGGTGGTGACGCTAAGATTGAGAGGCGCTCGGCAGGAAAGACAAGGCGCTGTTGCTCCTGGGAGTCAGACTCAGCAGCAGCCGCCGCCGCAGGAATGGCAGCAGCAGCAGCAGCAGCAGCGGCGGCGGCAGGCGCATTGCGGGTTACAGGAGCAACCAGAGCAAGCGGAGAGAACGGAGAGAGCGGAGCTTGGGGTTCTGCCTGGGGTGGACGTGTCTGGGCTTCAGGCGATTGGGGCGAGGCGGAAGCGGGAAGGGCGGAGGAAGAGCCGCGGGGAGGAGGCGCAGGGGGAATTTGAGGGGAAGTTTGAGGGGAGGGTTGATAAGAGGGTTGAGGGGATAAGCGCAAGTGAGGCGGAGGTTAGGTGTGGGAAAGGAGAGGGGGAGGAAGGGAGCGGCGTTCGTGCTGGTGTTGCTCCTACTGCCCTTCCTGCTGCCACGCCAGCTGCTGCTCTCCCTTCTACTCTCCCAACCCCCTCGTCCCTTCTTGGGGACTCCCCTGCAGCAGCAGCAAGGAGAAGGCAGCAGCAGAGACGGCAGCAGCAGCTACAGGAGGTGCGCTATGGGTTACCTGAAGCAGACTGTAACGAGGATGAGGATTTTTCTAGAGGCGCTGGCGTCGGCACTAGGGCGGCTGAGGCCGGCAGGAAGGGGAAAGCAGGTGGAAACCCTGATGGGGGAATTGAGTTGGACGAATGTGGGGGTGAAAGTTCATTTGAAGGGGAACCGAGGCAGCAGGGGGAGCAGAGGCAGCATAGGAAGCAGAGGGAGCGCAGGAAGCAGAGGGAGCAGCGGGAGCAGAAGGAAATGGTGATTCATGAAGAGGAAATGGAGGATCCATGGGAATTGGGGACGGTTGAAGAGGAGCTCTTACATGCTGGCCGAAGGGAGAAGCGTGGGCAGGAGCAGAGGCAGGAAGAGAAGCCGAAGCGTGCGTGTAAAAGGGAGGAAGATGACGCAGAGGAGAACAAGGAGCTCTTACATGCTGGCCGAAGGGAGACTGGTAGTAGGGAGAGGCAGGGGCAGGAGCAGAGGCAGGAAGAGAAGCCGAAGCATGCTTATAAAAGGGAAAAAGATGAGGCGGATGAGAACAATGAGACGAAAGAAAAAGGGAGGCAAAGGCGGGGCAGTGAAGACGGTTCGATGGGTGGGAAGCGGAGGAGGAGCATGGAGGAGTCGGCAGCTGTGGTGACGTCGAGAGGGGAAGCAGGAGAAGGGGGCGATCAGGCAAGAGAGGAAAGAGAGGGAAGAGAGGCTAAAAGGGACGTGAGAGTGACCAGGAGTAGGGCTGCCAAAGCAGATGTGAGCTCTGGCGGTGGAGCAGTGGCAGGGGCTGGGGTTGGGGCAGGGGTTGGGGCGAGGGCTGAGGCAGGGGTAGGGGCAGGGGTAAGGGCAGAAGAAGAAGGAGCAGGGTTAGGATCATGGGATGGCGAAGCGACAAATGTAGTGCCAGCAGGAGCGGGTGATGGAGGAGTGCGAAGTGGTGGCAATGAAGAGAGAGTGGTACGAGGGAGCGGTGAATGGTGGAATGAGGTTGCAGGGTTAAGGATGGGTGGAAAAGCACAGGATTGTGATGATTTGACTCTAGCACAGCTCCAGCAGAAGCAGCAGCGTAACCATGAGATGCAGACGATGCAGCCGCAACAGCATCAACAGCAGCAGCAGCAGCAGCAGCAGCAGCGTGAGGCACAGACACAGCAGCAGCAAAAGCGTGTGAATTCTTCTGCAACTGTGTCCCCATACGCAGCATCCCCAGGGAGACCACCACGGTCAATGCAGTCAACGCAGGTCAACTGCCAACTGGCACAGCACATCTCAGGCGAATCTATTCTGTTTGGTGCTGAGTCAGCTGGCAGTCCAGCCAGTTCACTGAAACCAGCTGGCGTCTCTGCCACGTCATCGGCTGCAAGGACGCAGCCAATCACGCAAGCCCAGCTCAGCTCAAGAGCCAGAATGCATTCATCTTCTGCAGCAGCAGCACCCGCAACAGGCACAGCAGCACCCATTATAGGCACAGCAGTCCCTGCTCCCAGTACAGAAGTCTCTAGGGAGGGCTTTTCCAGTCAAGCTGTTGGATCAAACTTGAAGGCTGTTTCCCCCTCTGAACGAATCACAGGCTCTCCTTCCCAAGCCGCAGTTGTGTCCTCATTTAAACCAGCAGGCGTCTCGACCTCGACCATCAAGTATGCTGTAAGAGTGGCAGCGGTCTCTCCTCCTATCACAGAGAGGCACAGCCCATGTCGTGAAGTGGGTGCAGGACCCCTGCATGATCTCGATCTGATTGTTCCTGCCAAGAGGCAACGGAGCAAGGCAAAGTCACAGCTGTCGCCGGTGAACGGAGGGGTGGCTTCGTTGACAGCTGCACCAGCTGCACCAGCTGTAGCAGCTGTAGCAGCAGTTTCATCTCAGTCACCGTCCCCGTCGCCATTGTCATCGCCAGGAGCAGCCACAACAGCAGCAGCAACTTCAGAAGCAGTAGGGTTGCCTGAAGGGGTTGGGGAAGCTGTGGGAGTTTTGACACCTGCGGTAGCGGACCAGAGAAATGCACATGGAAATGCACATGGCAATGCACATGGCAATGTACATGTAACCACTGGTGGAGCACGGAACGCTGCGCTCTCACCACTCCCTGCCGAATTTCACACCCCACAACCGCATCCTTCTCGTGGTTTCTTTTCCCCGCCGCATTCGTCGTCCGTGAATTCAGGGGTTTCCAGTGCTTGGATGATTGGGGATGACGGGTTAAAGGGAGGACGAGAGGGGCATGTTGGCGATGATAAAACGGGCGGTGAAACAGGAGATGGTGGTAAAGTCACAAATAGGGTTGGGTCTGGAGCTTCTGTGAAGTCTGTTGCATGGATGAGCCAACATGGGCCGTCTGAAGCTGTGCCGAGGAATGGTGGAGTATTGGCATTGGAAGAAGGCATGATGTGTGATGCGCCTGAAAGGGGGTTCCATGGAGAGGCGCCTTCCCTGGTAGGCGAAGTTGCAAGCGTCCCAGTTAGAAAGGTTAGGACGAAGAGACTCCCAGGTTCTTAGGAAGGAGGAGCCGGTTCTCTTGTTCTCTAGGTGTCTGATAGAATGTGCACGTTCTTCACATGAAAGTATTTGAGCTTCCAACACAAAAACGAATCTCTTAGTACGACAGCGCTGACAGGCACGCTTCGCACACCGACCTGAAGAGCTACAGCAACCCCTCGATGCAACATGACAGCAACCAAGCCTTTCGATCCAAGCCCTCCATTGTATCTCTTCCGAGCCGAGTGATAAGCTTCGGCTGCGGTGATTGGTTCGGTGGCAAGAAACAAACCAACCAGACAGTGACGAACCGAACGGAACCACCACGTCGGGCGTTCCGTCCCTCGCTCGCTCACAATCGCACACACTTCCATCCACCCCACCGCTTCCGCTTCCTGTCTGCTCTGCTTTTGCCGAAAGTCAAAACATCTGCAGAGGAGTGAGGAGTGGCAAACCAACCAACCACAGAAATGCTGCTGTGCTGCTAGTGCGCGGCATTGCATTGGTATGTACACAGTGTGCACTACACATGTATCTGGTTGGTGTCGTCAACCCTAAGGGCGCGTGTCTTTTGAATTTTAGGCCAAAGTGTCTTTTTTACGTTCGAACTGAGGTTGACCTGTACTCGAGTCTCTAAATGTTTGGGCCCGAATCGCGAATGCCCAACTCACAAAAAACACATGGCACACCAAAGTTCGAGCCTCGAGGTTCAACTCTATACACTCACTTTCGAGTCACGTTAAACTTTCATAGGTTACCCGGTTCCCACGCCTAGACAGCTCGCCACGTATGATTCGGGCGACGTGTTACGTGTATTCGTACAAATAGCACGAACTGCTTTGCGACTGTCGCATAATTCGCATTAACGACAGGCATGCTCACCAGGACACACGATTGACCTATCGTGCAACCAACAAATTCGTACGTGAGTTCGACCCAGGTTTAGTGTCCCTTTACAACGCCACCATCAGGGATAGGACACACGATTCTTGCGAAGAGTCATTACCGAAATATTCGAAAAAGGTTACCAGAAAAAGTTCGACCTAATTTTCGAACCTCTACACCGAAAGACACGCGCCCTAATACACAAGCCGTCTAGGTGATTCTTATTCTGACTCTGCTGATTTGCCGTGTTGGCTGGTAGTGAATGCAACGAAGCGCAAGAGTTACCTGGAGTGCGAGTGGGCTTGAACGTTGAGCGAGCGAATTCGGGGTTCGCAGCGAGCGAATGCACGTTCAAAGTAACAAGCTTTCGGACTTCAAGTATGAACGACGTAACTTCATGACGCAATCAGAGAGATCCTATGCTAAGCTATTGACAGTTGATTCTTAGTCGCAAACCGCACATTAGTACTTTCTGGAACCTCACGAACTAATTCCACGGTGCTCCGGCGGTGCTTCCACGCGAGAGCAGGATAGTTTCTTTTCTCAGCTCCATTCCATCTCTCGAGTCGACATAACAGTCGTTTTTCCGTTTCGAACTCTAGTGATCCGGTCGTAGACTGTCGCAATCCCCGTTATAGACTTTCGCAACCCATTCTTAGTTATCACGTCTGACCACAGCGAGATTCTCGCTCTCGTTCGTGCCTGAGCTTAGTCACAGCGCCTATCGCAACTCAGTTCAGTTGCCGTTTTCGCATCTTAACCACCACCAGCACTTCAGCACACCTTAACCTAACGGCGCGCGTTGCGCGCACGCACTTACTGACCGAAAGTGCAGACCTAATGCCTGTGACCCATCCTCCTCTTACAATGTCTTTTATTTATACTCGAGAAACGGAAACGTTGCTGTTACTTAATCAACTATAGTGGGAATATGGGGATATCTAGCATACCACAGCTACAGGCAGGGGACGCTGCTGTGAGAGCCTTTTAGTTATAATGGGGATCCCTTTAACCGAGTCACACACAGGGAACGCTGCTTCGGAAGCTCTAGGTCTAAATCCGGCCGCAGACGTAGGTTCGGAAAGGGCAGTTCCAGATTCGGAACGTTCAGGTTCGGACCCTGCAGGTTTGGACCCAAGCAGCGGCAGTTTGAGCGGCTTCAATAGCTTCGCAAGAAGCGCCGGCAGTGCGGTTGGGAGCGGTAGCGTGGGAGGGAGTATTCCTGAAATCGGGACTGGCAGCGGAACGGGGAGTGGGCCCGGTAGCGGTAGCAGCCAAGGCTTACACGAAATAACGGAGCAGACTATAACGGAGCCTGTGAGCGGTTCCAGGAAACAAGCGGGCGGCAGAGTAGAGCTGTCACCGTTTGAAGCACAAGAAAACGACAAGAACAGCAATAATAACAGCAATCCAAAGCAGTTGAGATCCCAAGGCCGGAGCTACAGTAACACCAGCAGCAGCGGCAGCAGCCAGGGCAGCGGGTTGTGGAATAACGGGTCGCACTCTCCCGTGTTGATGCGCATGTCGAAACGTGAGAGGGTGATGGATCTTCTGGGAATGCTGAGTGCGAGACGGTTCTGCCGGATGGGGTTTGCAGAGCATGATGAGGACGATGTTGTTGCTGCTGCTGCTGCTGCTGCTGGTGGTGCTGGTGGTGGTGGTGGTGGTGGGAGTGGTGAGAGGGAGGGGGTGGAGGATGGGGAGGAGGTGGAAGGGAAGAGGCGGAGGAGGAGCAAGACCTGGAGAGCGGTTCGGAGCGGTGCTGCTGGGTGCTTCTCGGTGCCGCTTTTGGAGGACGATGGGAACGCTGGTGGCGGGAAGGAGAAGAAACCATGGCGGCATGGGAAGAGGAGCAAGGAGGGGGGAAGAACGACTAAGGAGAACGGCCGAGGAGGAGGGAGCAAGGCGGAAGAGGAAGGGGGAAGGGAGGGAGATGGATGGCTGATGAGGAAGGGCGGAGGAAGGTTCCTGTTGGACTCACTGAAGTCCCCCGTTGTTATCACTCGCCTCACTATGATGGTATGTATGTACTACGTGTAACAGTTCCCGTCCTCGTTATAGGCACTCATTCACTGGCCGATTGTGTGCATTTCTCTGCAACACGGTCCTTATGGCGTTTCTCATTCTTTCCTTCCCCTTTTGCGCCGTTGTAATCCTCTGACTCTCCCCCGCTCTCCCCCCTTCCCTCTCTCCCACATGTTCTTCCCCAGGCGCTGCTCGTTATAGTCACGGTGGTGCTCTGTGTGAGCACGTGGTATGCAGCGGGCAAGATGTACAGTGACTCCCTCGATGACATCTCTACACAGTAAGTTTTAGTTTTAGTTTTAGTTTTAGTTTTTTTTTTTTTTCCTCCTGCCTTCGCTACCAGTAGATAGAAACGGAGCGGACCACAAATTATAAATTGCTGGCATGTTGATTGCCTGATTCGCCAAATCATAATTGGCTCGACCTCTCTCGACCTCCCTCGACTTCTCTCAACCTCTCTCTTCCTCTCCTGCTATTACGTCCTCTGCATTGTGTAGTATGGATCTGTTTTTTTGCAATTGCTCTCCCCTCTCTTCCCCAACTACCTTTCACCGCTCACCACCGCTCTCTGTCGCTCCCCACCGTTTCCCATTGCTCTCCACCACCCCCCACTGCTCTTCACCGCTCTGAACCCCTCCAGACTGCGCCAGAATCCTTGGTGCGGGCGCACCAGCAGTTCCTGCTCTACATCAACCGCGACCGTGACGTGCTGCTGTCGTATGCCTCCACATCTCATTCACTCTCCCCCTCTCTTCATCTCATTCAACTCCCCTTCACCCCTCTCCACTGCGCTTAAATGCTCCCCATCGCTCTCCACCTCTCTGAACCCATCCAGACTGCGGCAGAAGTCCCTGGTGCGGGCACACCAGCAGTTCCTGCTCTACATCAACCGCGACCGTGACGTGCTGCTTTCATACGCCTCTGTGGTGGAAAACCTGCTGGCGAACACCAACACTTCGGTCGTGGGACTGAAGTACGCGCAGCAGCAGGTGCGTTGAGAGTAGCAGGGGCAGCAAGCAGCAGGTGCGTTGAGCGAAGCAGGGGCAGCAAGCAGCAGGTGCGTTGAGTTGGAAGGCAAGGGAACGGGAGTGCGTTGAAGCTGGGGTGTGCTACTTTCATACGCCTCTGTGGGGGAGAACCTGCTGGCGATCACCAACACTTCGGTGGTGGGGCTGAAGTACGCGCAGCAGCAGGTGTGCGCTGAAAGAAAGGGGAGCAGGAGAAGGTGCGTTGAACGGCAGGTGTGTGTACGGTGCGTGGTGGAGAATCTTATGGCGCAGAGCAGACCATCTTGTCTGTTGAGGGACTCAACTCAATCTTGCCCCGCTAGCGTGGTCGTTCTTCCACTCGTCACTGCCGCGCCTCACCCTACTCTCTTGCTCAACCCGACCCTTCCTCTTGTCCAACCATCCCTCTTCTTGCCCAACCCCCTGCCCCTCTCCCCTGCAGATCGCCCCGCTAGCGTGGTCGTTCTTCCACTCGTCACTGCCGCGCCTCACCATCATGGGCTATTTCTCCCACTTTGGCTGCCTCCTCTTCTACTCTCTTCCTCAAATATCTCTCCCTCCTCGCTTTTCCCTGCGCTTTCCCCCTGCCTCTCCCCTGCAGATCGCCCCTTTAGCGTGGTCATTCTTCCACTCGTCCCTGCCGCGCCTCACCATCATGGGCTACTTCTCCCACTTTGGCTGCCTCCTCTTCTACTCTCTTCCTCAAATTTCTCTCCCTCCTCGCTTTTCCCTGCGCTTTCCCCCTGCCTCTCCCCTGGCAGATCGCCCCACTAGCGTGGTCGTTCTTCCAGTCGTCCCTGCCGCGCCTCACCATCATGGGCTATTTCTCCCACTTTGGCTGCCTCGTTGGCTACTCTCAGACCGACCCTGTCACCCAGTCGTTCTCAGCCACCCCTGGCGGCGCCGTCTCTCAGGTTTTCACAAAGAATATCACCGACATTACAGGTGCGTTCTGACTCGTATTGCAGGTGAGAGAGGGAATATGACAAGTCCATGGCATTACAGGTGCATCGAAGGATCTCAAGAGGGGATAAGCAGAACAGGTACGGTATGGGCAGTTTGGTGGGAAAGGGAGGTGCTCTGCTCACTTCGCCTGCCTCGTTGGCTACTCCCAAACCGATTCCGTCACCCAGTCGTTCTCAGCCACCCCTGGCGGCGCCGTCTCTCAGGTTTTCACAAAGAATATCACCGACATTACAGGTGCGTTCTGACTCGTATTACAGGTGAGAGAGGGAATATTGTGAGAACAATAGTTTGAAGAGAAGTTGATGATTGAATTGAGGAGATTGGGGGTTTACATAGGGAGTGGGTTGGATCCTAGCCTAGGTGAGCATTATTGGACCCCAACCAAGAAGTTGGGTTGGGGGATTATTGGTGGGGTCCAATAATGTTGGCCAAGTTGGAGTTGGGCCAACATTATTGGAGTGAACCAATAATTCTACCCAACCCAACCTTTGGGGTCCAATAATTGGACCAAGGTTGGGTTTCCAACCTACAAACTGGGTGACCCTTGTTTGTACACCCAAACTGAGTTTGGGTGCTTAACTCTAGCCTAACCTATAACATCTATGCAGGTTACACAAGAAGATAGATTCTAACACAACCCCTTAACCTGCAGAGATGCGGAAAGGCTTGAGTGAAGCAACCCCTGAATCAAGGCGCGCCTGGGGGAGCGAGGCCGATGAGGCGGAGAAGAGCAGAGTGCGCAGGGCGAAGGAGTGCTTTGGTGAAGATATCTGCCAAGTTGGCTTCAGCGGCGATCTTACGAACGGCAATGAGATTCTGTTGGACGAGTTCACGGATGAAGAAATAGCGGAGCTCAATGTGTTTGGAGCGACCGTGGAACACGGGGTCTTGGGTGAGATGGATGGTGCTGGCATTGTCACACCAGAGCGTGGGGCAGCGCTGGGGAACACCAAGCTCAGCCAGGAGGAAGCAGAGCCAGCGGGACTCCTGGGCGGCCATGGTGCCAGCATAGAGCTCAGCTTCACAGGAGGAGAGGGCGATGGCAGAGGAGCGGGTAGAGCGCCAGCTGATGAGGCCGCTGCCGAGGGTGAAGCCATAGCCTTGGGAGGAGCGGCGGTCTGGCTGGCAGTCTGCCCAGGAGGAGTCGCTGAAGCCAGAGAGAAGGGGGGGGGAAGATCCACCCAGCGTGAGAGCGTGGTCTCTGGTGCCACGGAGATAGCGGAGGACCCGCTTGGCGGCAGTCCAGTGTTCCTCAGTGTGGCGGCCGGGGCCGACGAACCGCCGGGCAGGGTAGGCGAGGTCGGGACGAGTGCACATCATCGCGTACATCAGCGACCCAACAAGCTCGGCGTAGGGCCGGGAGGAGGTGGAGGGGGAGGTGGGTGGCGCAAGCTGGTGGCCGAAGGGGAGAGGGGTGGAGACCGGTTTGGCTTGTGCCATCTCGAACTTCTCCAGGACCTGGCCGATGTAGTGGGACTGGGAGAGGGTGATGGTGCGGGCGGATCGATCACGGGTGATAGCCATGCCGAGGTAGTTCTGAAGCGGACCAAGGTCCTTGCACTTGAGACGTTCCTGAAGTGACCGCTTCACATGATCCATGTCAGCCCTGGTGTCGGCGAGCAGGATCATGTCGTCGACGTAGACGGAGATGAAGAAGCGACTGGGGGAGGAGCGGATGAAGAGGCTGGCATCGGAGTGGGAGGGGGAGAAGCCAAGGGACTGGAGAGTAGCAGACAGCTTCGCATGCCATTCTCGTGGTGCCTGCTTCAGGCCGTAAACCGGGCGCTTTAGTTGCCAGACGGTGTTTTCGGGGAAAGCCGCATGAAACCCAGGAGGTCGGCGGAGGAAGATGCGCTCGTGCAGTTCGCCTTGCAGGAACGCGTTGGAGACGTCCATGGAGTCAATCTCCATGTCGTCACGCGCACCGATGTCCATAAGGGTGCGTAGGGTGGCTTGCCTGAGGGTGGGGGCAAATGTGAACCAGTAGTCCTCAGCCCAGGTCTGGGTGAACCCCTTGGCAACATAGCGGGCTTTGTAGACTGGCTCCTCTCCCGGCAGCTGTTTGACTCGAAAGATCCACTTGCCCTCGACAAGGTTGGCGTCAGGGGGAAGGGGAACGTCGATAAAGGAGTCGTTGCGAATGAAAGCCTCACACTCCAGGAAGATAGCGGCTAACCACTTGTCAGCGTCAGGGCAGGTGATAGCCTCCTGGAAGGTGGTGGGGACGAAGATGGTGGGAGCGGAGATCGCGCTAAGGATCAGAGCGCCGAAGAGGTCAGGGTAAAGTGTGAAGATAGAGGGAGTGTGGTGCCGGACCATGGCGAACTCCTCATGGGAATCCTCGAGCTGGTGGAGGGAGGAAGGTGGCGGTGTGCCAAGGATGGGATCAAGAGAGCGGGTGTGCATGCGAGGGAGGAGGAAGGGTGAGGAGCGGGCAGACGCCCTCCGCCGCCGCTGCTGCTGCTGCTGCTGCTGCTGGACCCCCTGTTGCTGCTGCGGCCGCTGCTGCGGCTGTTGTTGCTGCTGCTGCGGCTGCCCCTGTGGTTGTTGCGGCGGCCACTGCTGCTGCCCCTGCTGCTGTTGGTGCGGCTGCTGCTGCGGCTGCCCCTGCTGCTGCTGCTGCTGCTGTGGCTGCTGCTGCTGCCCCTGCGGCTGCTGCTGCGGCTGCCCCTGCTGCTGCTGCTGCTGTGGGTGCTGCTGCTGCTGCGGCTGCTGCTGCGGCTGCTGCTGCTGCTGCTGCTGCTGCTGCTGCTGCTGTGGCTGCTGCTGCTGCCCCTGCGGCTGCTGCTGCGGCTGCTGCTGCTGCTGCTGCTGCCCCTGTGGCTGCTGCTGCGGCTGTTGGGATGGATGAGAAGGAGAGTAGGAAGGAGAGGAGGGAGAGGGAGCCGCGGAGTGTGCAGGGGATGCAGGAGCAGTGGGATCATAGATATCGGCAGATGAGGGTGGCGGAAGCGGAGTGGGGAGGGGTGGGAGAAGGGGTGCTGGAGGGAGGAGGGGAGGGAGGACGGTGTCGGTCCAAGCGAGAGGACGGGTGGGAGGAGGGAGGGGGTCTGGTGGTGGAGAGGAATAATATGGGGTGGTCTCATCAAACACAACGTCAATGCTGCGGATGAGGCGACCGGAGGGAGGGTGAAGGAAAAGGTAACCGGGCGAGTCGCGGTTGTGGCCGAGGTAGACACACTCGAGGGCACGAGAAGCGAGCTTGCCGTGGGTGCGTTCAGGTGGAGGGATGAGCACATATGCCTTGCAACCCCAAACACGAAGTCCGGCAGCGTCAGGTTTGGTCCCTGACCAGAGCTCCGTGGGGGTAGTGGCGGTGTGGCAGGGATGGGAGCGAAGGTTGAGGAGGAGGGTAGCATGAAGGAGTGCATAGCCCCAAAGAGAAGGAGGGGTGGAGGCGTGAGCGAGGAGACAGCGGGCGATCTTAGTGATTTCGCGAATGCGGCTCTCTGCGACGCCGTTCTGCTGTGGGGAGTGGGGAAGAGTGTGGGTCTGTTGGATGCCATGAGTGGTGCAGTAGTGAGTGAGTGCGCGATTGAGGAATTCGCCTCCCCCATCAGAGTGGAGGCGGCCAATGGGACGTTTGAAGTTGGTGCGGCATTGTTCTGCCCAGTGAATGATCATGGTCGGCGCCTGAGATTTCGTGTGGAGGAGGAAAACGGAGGAGTAGCGGCTGTGATCGTCAACCAGAACCAGCATGTAGCGATGGCCTTGGCGGGAGCGGGTGGGAGAGGGCCCCCAAAGGTCCATATGGACAAGGTCAATTGGTGCAGGAGCAAAGGATGGGTGGCTGTGGTGAGGAGATTGTTTGAGTTTGCCGTGGATGCAGGAGGGGCATGGGGGGGCCGGGGAGGAGGGAAGGGGAGGAAGGGTGGGAGGGAGGCTGTGAAGAAGTCGTGAGGTGACGGCAGTGCGGAGAGCGGCGAAATTGGGATGGCCGAGTCGGTGATGTAGGAGAACAGCGGGGTGGGAGAGATGGTCGGAGGTGGAGGGGATTGGAACGAGGGAGGGCGGGATGAAGGAGTGGGGGGATGGTGGAGTGGGGGGGGAGGGAGGGAGATGGGGAGGGCTAGTGGAGGTACCCGCACGAGTGGTGACATGACAGGAGGATGGCCACGGAGTGCGGAGAGTGTAGAGGCGAGTGCGGGGGCAGAGGGGTATGCGGAGGAGGAAGCGGCCGGAGGCAGTGTGGTAAAGGTCACAGTAGGTGGCATTACCAGGGTAGACCGCAGTGATACCTGCACTTTGTATTTCACGGTGGGAGAGGAGGTTGTTTCGGAGAGTGGGGATGTGGAGACCAGTTACCTTACCAGAGGGGAAGAGTGAGCAGGGGAGAGTGGAGAGGTGTGTGCATGGAATAGTGAAGCTGCTGTCAGCGCCGTGAACCTGAGTGGGAGGAGAGAGGGGTGTGAGTGTACCAGCGTCTTTGAGAGCAGTTTCAGTGGCCCCACTGTCCAGGACAAAGTCCAGAGTGGGTGAGGAGGAGGAAGGCACGGAGTACTGGAAAGTGGTTTCATTAATGGTGGACGGGTACATGGAAGGAAGAGAGGGTGAGATAGCAATGTTGCCAAGAAAGTTCTCCTGAGTGAGAGGGGTGGCAGTGCCACTGGGGGGGGGTGGAGTACCCCAAAGGGGAGCCGGTGAGGCCTGAGCGGCCATGGCTGCGGTGCCGAAGTTTAGCTGCTGCTGCTGCCAGGGAGGAGGGCTAGGTCCCCACTGGGGCTGGGGTCCTGATCCCCATGGGTGCTGCTGCGGCTGCTGCTGCTGCTGCTGCGGCTGTGGATAAAACAGCTGCTGTAGTTGCTGGTGCTGCTGCTGCTGCTGCTGCTGCTGCTGTAGGAGGTGCTGCTGCTGGAGGTTGAGAAAAGGTGTGGGGGGAGCAAGGAGGCGGAGGTGGGCAGGGAGGTAAGCGGGGTTGGTTTGGATGTCGGTGGGGGAGGGACGTGGGGAGATCGTTCCCCACTTTGGAGGATTGCCAACGTTACCTCGTGCGTACCAAGCATCATCGAGGGCCTTGAAGCAGGTGGCAGGGGGATGGTTGGTCTGTCCGCAGGGTGTTCCAGCCCGGGGGCCATAGCGGCGAACATAGGTGCAGGGCGGAAGAGTACCGGGGCGACCGCCGCTGCTTGCAGGAGCTCCGCCTGTGGTGGTGGTGCCGTGCTCATCCCCAGTGGTACCGCCACGTCTGCTCGCGCTGCTGCCGCCGGGACCGCTACCTCCCTTGCCTCCACCGCCCCCCTTGCCGTTGTGCTTGCCCTGCTTGCGGGGCTGAGTAGCGTTGAGGGAGGAGGAGGAGGGTTGGGAGGAGGCGAGGTTGACGACGGGGGTGCGAAGTTTGACTTCGGTGTCTATGATCCACTGTTCAACGGAGGCGAGGTCAGCCATGGGATTGGCTTCAGTAAAGGCGTGAAGGCGGGATTCATAGTCGGGAGTGAGGTTAAACAGGAGGCGATGGATTTGGAGGGGTTCGGAGAGGCCGGCTTGGCGGGCTTCGAGGCGGTCAGCTACCTCCCGCATGCGGCCGATGTAGTCGACCGCTCCGTCACAGGTAGCAAGGGTGATTGAGAAGTATTCTTGAAACAGAATGCCGACCGAGCTGATGTCGCGGCGTTCGAACATCGCATGGAGCTCTGCCCAGATGACCGAGGCCCGGAGCTCTCGAGCCTGGAAGCGGCGCATGAGAGAGTCAGGGAGAGCCCCAAGGAGAACGGTGCAGGCACGAGTGTCAGCAGTTGTCCAGGCGATAAGTTTCGGGGTGTAGGTGGCCATGTCGGCTTGGTATTTGGCGACGACGGCGAGGTGAGCGTTGCGGCCGGTAACTGCCTGGTCATAGGCTTCGACTGCTGCATCGTACTCTGCTTTCTTGATAAGGTACGCACGGCGGCGTAGGATGAAGTCTGTATCGGCCGTGGCTTGGTCGGCGGTGAGTTGGAGGTCGGGTTCAAGAGGAGGATCGCCGGGAGAGGGAGGGAGAGGGGGAGTCTCGCCCGGGTGGTCAGGTTCGGTGGGGGGGAGTGCATGGGGACGGCGGAGGAGGACATCAAGGACGCGGTAGGGGGGAACCCACGCATCGGAGAGGACCCGTCGGATGCTGCCGACGAAGGAGTGCCAATTAATGGCGGATTTGTCTGCGGCGAGCTGCAGCGTATCGACGGAGGAGGTGTCAATAGGTGGAGGGAGGGGGACGGGGGAGGGTGTGGCGGTAGCCATGGAGGACGGCTGCGGGTGGGCCTGCAGTGGTCACGGGGGGGAGGTGAGGCGGCGACGAGGCCGCGGGAGGGAGCGGCGCGGACGGCAGCGGCTGGCGAGGCCGCGGCGGAGTCGGCGCGGAGGCGGCGACGAGGCCGCGGAAGGGAGCGGCGCGGACGGCAGCGGCTGAGGCCGCGGCGGAATCGGCGCGGAGGCGGCGACGAGGCCGCGGGAGGGAGCGGCGCGGACGGCAGCGGCTGGCGAGGCCGCGGCGGTGTTGGCGCGGAGGCGGCGTCGAGGCCGCGGGAGGGAGCGGCGCGGAAGCGGCGACGAGGCCGCGGAAGGGAGCGGCGCGGACGGCAGCGGCTGGCGAGGCCGCGGCGGAGTCGGCGCGGAGGCGGCGATGAGGCCGCGGGAGGGAGCGGCGCGGACGGCAGCGGCTGGCGAGGCCGCGGCGGAGTCGGCGCGGAGGCGGCGACGAGGCCGCGGAAGGGAGCGGCGCGGACGGCGGCGGCTGGTGGAGCCGCGGCGGAGTCGGCGCGGAGGCGGCGTCGAGGCCGCGGAGAGGCGCGAGCGGCAGCGGTCGGCGGGACCGCGACGAGGCGAGCGCGGAAGCGGTGATGGGGCCGCGGAAGGGGGGGAGGGGGGGGGGGAGTGGTGCGAGCCTTGGCGGCGTGGGAGGCCGCGGGGCTGCGAGGAAGGGAGCGCTTGATGAGAGGGGAAGGGCGGCAAGATGGCCGCGAAAAAAAAAATGAGGAAGAAGGCCGGGGTTGTAGTGGCCTTTGAAAACTTAATAGAGTAGGCCTAGGAATTAAGAGCTCTATACCATGTGAGAACAATAGTTTGAAGAGAATTTGATGATTGAATTGAGGAGATTGGGGGTTTACATAGGGAGTGGGTTGGATCCTAGCCTAGGTGAGCATTATTGGACCCCAACCAAGAAGTTGGGTTGGGGGATTATTGGTGGGGTCCAATAATGTTGGCCAAGTTGGAGTTGGGCCAACATTATTGGAGTGAACCAATAATTCTACCCAACCCAACCTTTGGGGTCCAATAATTGGACCAAGGTTGGGTTTCCAACCTACAAACTGGGTGACCCTTGTTTGTACACCCAAACTGAGTTTGGGTGCTTAACTCTAGCCTAACCTATAACATCTATGCAGGTTACACAAGAAGATAGATTCTAACAAATATGACAAGTCCATGGCATTACAGGTGCATCGAAGGATCTCAAGAGGGGATAAGCAGAACAGGTACGGTATGGGCAGTTTGGTGGGAAAGGGAGGTGCTCTGCTCACTTCGCCTGCCTCGTTGGCTACTCCCAAACCGATTCCGTCACCCAGTCGTTCTCAGCCACCCCTGGCGGCGCCGTCTCTCAGGTTTTCACAAAGAATATCACCGACATTACAGGTGCGTTCTGACTCATTACAGGTGGCCTGCTGCTCCCCGCACGGCCTCCTCTCCTTCTCTCAAAACCGACCCTGTCACCCAGTCCTTCTCAGCCACTCCTGGCGGCACCGTGTCGCAGGTCTTCACAAAGAATATCACCGACATCACAGGTGCGTGAAGTGAGCATGAATACCACAGAGGAGAGGGCGAGTCAGCATGAATACTCTCCACGAGCTGACTTCTGAGTCGACTCAAGTCCCCTGGCGGCCGCGCCGTGTCGCAGGTCTACTCTACACTAAGAGTATTACCGACATCACAGGTGCGTGAAGTGAGCATGATGAATACATGGCATGGCATGCATGTCAATGGCATGCATGTCAATGGCATGCATGTCAATGGCAGAATGGGTTGTAGAAGAGGCACAAGTGGGTGGGGTTGGGCAGAACAAGTACGGGCGGTGTGGTGGGTGGGTGGATGGGTGGGTGGGTGGGTTTGTGGATGGGTGGATGGGTGGGTGGGCAATTCTGCTTGCTTCTCTGCAGCTTCCTCTCCCACTCCCAGACCGATCCCCTCACCCAGTCGTTTGCTGCCCGCATCCCTGCTCGCGCCGTCCCTCCTACCTAGCGCCACTCCTTCCTTCCTCTGCCCCTTTTTTTCTTGCACACTTCTGAAACGTCTCAAAAGCCACTCCTTCCTTCCTTCCTCTGCCCCTTTTTTTCTGGCGCACCCCCCTCCCCACACACCATTCCCCTCCCTCTCCCCGCATCCCATTCCTTCCCCTCCTCCTTCCCCCACCCCATTCCCCTCCCCATCCCCCATCCCCCTACCTCGCCCACCTGTGCAAGCAGGCCGGTGGTACATCCAGGCAGTTAACACCTCCACCGGATCTGCCCTTCCCCAGTCACCACCTCAGAGCTTCACTCCAGTGCTTATCGGGTCTCCAGCCGTCTACGACCGCGTTTCTAGTGTTCCCCCCAGCCTGCTTCTCTGGTGGCCCTTCAATCAACCTCTCTCCATCTCTCCCTCTCCATCCTCCTCTCCCTCCCTTCTTCCCGATTCCTGCACCGATTCTTCTCATCCGTCCCTCCCCTCCCCTTTCTTCCCATCCACTTTCCCTCGTCTCCCCACCCTATCCTCCTCCTCCTCCCCCCCCCCCCCCCCCAAACCCCTCTTCCCCGCCCACCAATGCAAGCAGGCTGCTGGTACATCCAGGCAGTTAACACCTCCACCGGATCTGCCCCCATCCCGTCCCGTCCTACCTCATTCTATCCCCTCTCCTCTCCTCTCCTCTCCTCCCGCCTTTTGCTCCCTCTGTGCCACCAGGCCGCTGGTACATCCGGGCAATTAACACCTCCACCGGGACCCCCCTCCCCAAGCCCATTCCCCTCCCTCTCCCCCACCCTACCCCTGTTCCCGCCCACCTTTGTGTGCCACCAGGCCGCTGGTACATCCAGGCAATTAACACCTCCACCGGGACCCCCCTCCCCCAGTCACCCCCTCGCAACTTCACGCCAGTGCCCATTGGGTCCCCAGCCATCTATGACCAGGTTGCCGCTGGCCCCCCTGGCCTGCTGCTCTGGACCTTCAATGCCGTTCAGAACCTCTCTGGACCGCTCTTGCTCGCATCGGTGGCTGTGAGGGGTGCGGAGCAGAGGAAAGCGATTGGGCAGGACGTGGGTGGGGATGAGTGGTGGGATGTGGGTGGGGGAGCGGTGGTGAAAGGGTTGGTAGGGAGTGGGGAAGGGAGTGGGGGAGGGGGTGGGGTTGGGGGTGGGGTTGGGAGGGGGTTGGGAGGGGTTGGAGGGACTACGAAGGTTGATGCAACGATCCAAGGAGGAGAGTTCTTGGGGAACGGGGATTTGGATGGGGTGGGGGTTGGGGGCGGGGGTGGCGGTGGGGGAGTTGTTGATAGTGAGAGTGATGGATTGGTGGCACGGGATCTATTGTCGCTGCCAGACGTTCAATTCCACCCACATTTCCATTTGCATTCCCAACGACCTGCCCACCTCGCCTCAGCTTCTGCTGCTGCCAGTGGTGGGGCAGGTAGACTTGCATCAGCATCGGCATCAGCTGCTGCTGTCACGGGTGCCTCTACTGCTGCCGCAGCTCGCTCCCAAGTCACTCCACAGTCCACCACCACCACCACCACCTCCTCCTCATCCTCCCCCTCCTCTTCCAACACCTCTGCCTCTACCTCGTCCAACCCCTCACCCACCACGACGCCCACCGCTACCAGTACCACCCCCACCACCACCACTGCCGCCACCACCACCCCTGCCACCCCTGCCGCCGCCTCAGTCCCTGCCGCTGCCGCCTCTGTCCCAGCCATAACAGGCATAGTAACGCTGGGTTCCTCGACAGGCACAGTGAACCGCTACCTGGGCCTGTCAGGCACGGACAACAGTGTGATGTACATCTGCAGCAGCGATGGGTTTCTCTTCGCCACCTCCACCAACGCCGCCACCACCGCCATGGCTGCTGCTCCCTCGGGGAATCCCGGGTCAGACGGAGATGATGCAGCAGCAGCTGCCGCTGCTGGTGGGTCTACTGGTGCTGCTGCTGGTGCTGCTGCTGGTGGTTCTCCTAGTGGGGTGAGCGGAGGTGGGAGCGGGAATCAGAGTGGGACAGGCTCGGGAGGAGGGGCGGGACCGCCGCCGCTGCCGGAGGGGTTTGAAGGGCCGGGGGGAGCGCAAGCGATGCCGGTGCTGGTGAACGCGACACAGGTGTCGGATGCGGTGATAGCCGATACAGCGCGGTACCTGGAGGCAAGGTTTGGGCTGCCGGCGCTGGTGGCGGGGAACTACTCGGTGGGGGGCGTGATGGTGAACGGGGAGGACTGCTTCGTGAGCACCATGGCCCTCAGCTTTGACAATCTCAATATGGTGAGCTTTGATTTATTGTAGTGTAGGTATACACAAAGGCTGGGGGCTGGCCTGGTGAGGAGATATTGGTGCTGGACGGCACCGGGGAACTAATTTGTGTTGTGGGCGGTGTAATGGTAAAGAAGTGCCATGGGGAGGAGTGCTTCGTGAGCACCATGGCTCTCAGCTTCGACAACCTCAATATGGTGAGGCGAGATTCAGTGTAGTCACTGTAGTGAGGCTATACACGAAGGCTGGGTTCTGGTCAGGGGCTGGGAGGAGATCTCGGTGGGGGGTGTGATGGTGAACGGAGGGGAGTGCTTTGTGAGCACCATGGCTCTCAGCTTCGACAACCTCAATATGGTGAGGCGAGATTCAGTGTAGTCACTGTAGTGAGGCTATACACGAAGGCTGGGATCTGGTCAGGGGCTGGGAGGAGATCTCGGTGGGGGGTGTGATGGTGAACGGAGGGGAGTGCTTTGTGAGCACCATGGCTCTCAGCTTCGATAGCCTCAATATGATGAGCTTTGCACACACCGCCCTCGCGCTCTGCCTGCTGCTCATCCGCTGGGCGGTGGTGGTGGTGGTCGTGGTCTAAAAATCGCGCTCTCCTGTCCGTCCATATCCATCTCTCCTCCTCCCCATTCTCCTGCCCGCCCCACTTCTCCCCACTCCCCCCGCTTCCCTCTCCCTGCCAGTACCTGGCCATCATCATGCCGCGAGCGTCCATAACAGCATCAATCGAGTCAAAGCAGTGCATCATGTCATCGTCACCACGGCTCATCCCTTCCCCTCAACTCCCCCCCTCCCATCACCCCTCAACAACACAGTACCTGGCGATCATCATGCCGCGGGCGTCCATAACGGCATCAATAGAGTCAAAGCAGCGCATCATGGTCATCGTCACCACGGCAGTCGCGCTCTGCCTGCTGCTCATCGGCTGGGCCGTGGTGATCTTCCTCACGCTCTACGTGGACACGCGCATGCGGCCCAAGGAGGAGCTTCAGCGGCAGATGGAGGAGACTCAGCGCGCCCAGGCTGCTTCCGAAGTGAAGAGCCAATTTCTCGCCAACATCTCCCACGATCTCAGGACACCTATGGCCGGGTGAGTCAACTGTCAAGGGGCTGGGCTGGGCTGGGCTGGGCAGCACACACTCTCTTCTTCCTGACGCTCTACGTGGACACGCGCATGCGCCCCAAGGAGGAGCTGCAGCGGCAGATGGAGAGCGCAGGCTGCTTCCGAAGTGAAGAGCCAGTTCCTGGCGAACATTTCTCACGACCTGAGGACACCTATGGCCGGGTGAGTCAAGGGGCTGGCCAGCACACACACACTATTCCTCACGCTCTACTCTCTACGTGGACACGCGCATGCGCCCCAAGGAGGAGCTGCAGCGGCAAATGGAGGAGACTCAACGCGCCCAGGCTGCTTCCGAAGTGAAGAGCCAGTTCCCGGCGAACATTTCCCATGACCTGAGGACCCCTATGGCCGGGTGAGTAAAAGGGGTGGGCAGCACATTCACTCTTCCTCACGCTCTACGTGGACACGTGCATGCGCCCCAAGGAGGAGCTTCAAAGACAGATGGAGGAGACGCAGAGAGCCCAGGCTGCCTCTGAAGTCAAGAGTCAGTTCCTGGCCAACATTTCGCACGATCTCAGGACGCCTATGGCCGGGTGAGTCAACTGTCAAGGGGCTGGACAACGCACATGCTTAACTCTTTGGGGCATGCGCATGCGCCCCGAGGAGGAGCTGTGCGACCATTTGACATCGGAGCAGATGCTGTGTAGCCGTGTTGTGCTGCTGCTTCTCTCCTCTCTTCGTCCTCGGCCCAAACCCTCCCCCTCTTCCCCGTTCCCCCTCCTCAGCATTCTCGATCTGCTGGACGTCATGCTGTGCCGCCTCTCTCCGCTCCTCTTCCTTACCCCGTTTCCCCCCCCACCCCTCTTTCGCCCTCGCTGCAGCATTCATGCTGTGCGATCACCTCTGATCAGAGCAGGAGCCCAATCTGCGCCAGATGAAGTCCTGCTGTGCGTCTGCAGCATTCTAGGCCTACTGGACATCATGCTGTGCGACCATCTCTCATCAGAGCAGGAGGTCAATCTTTGAGTTGACTCACAAGTCAGCTCGTACCCTCCCCCACCCTCCCCGACCCCCCCAACCCCCTTCCTCTCTTCAGCATTCTAGGCCTGCTGGACATCATGCTGTGCGACCACCTGTCATCAGAGCAGGAGGCCAATCTGCGCCAGATGAAGTCCTGCTGTGCGTCACTGCTGGGGCTCCTCAACAACCTGCTCGACCTTGCCAAGGTCCGAGCCACTGCCACCTCCTTGTTCTCCTTCCTTTTCGTTTGCTATTAAATAGGTTAGGCATGAGCACGGACCGAACCTGAACCGTGTTGAATCGACCAGAAGAATGAATCGAGCCCAAAGATCCGCAATTGGTGTTCGCCGCTCTTCAATGGTTGTGGAACCGATTGGTAATTACATTGACCGAGTCTGCACCATAGTCACATTGTCTGTAAAAATGAACAAATAAATAAACAAATATATGAACAAATAAATAAATAAACAAATGAATAAATAGAACAAACAAACAAGCAAGCAAACAAACAAATAAATAACTAACTAAACTAAAACTAGGAACAAATTTGTGCTCCATCTGTGGTGGTATCTGTGTGTGAGAATGTGTCACAGGTGGAGGCGGGCAAGATGCAGCTAGAAGTGTTGGAGTTTGACATTGTGGGCGAGCTCGAGTCGCTGGTCGACATGTTCAGCGCGCTAATTCCCTCATTGCTATGATGTTCCTTTGTCTTAATGCATGGATCACAGGTGGAGGCGGGCAAGATGCAGCTAGAAGTGTTGGAGTTTGACATTGTGGGCGAGCTCGAGTCGCTGGTCGACATGTTCAGCGCGCTAATTCCCTCATTGCTATGATGTTCCTTTGTCTTTATGCATGGATCACAGGTGGAGGCGGGCAAGATGCAGCTAGAAGTGTTGGAGTTTGACATTGTGGGCGAGCTCGAGTCGCTGGTCGACATGTTCAGCGCGCTAATTCCCTCATTGCTATGATGTTCCTTTGTCTTTATGCATGGATCACAGGTGGAGGCGGGCAAGATGCAGCTAGAAGTGTTGGAGTTTGACATAGTGGGCGAGCTCGAGTCGCTGGTCGACATGTTCAGCGCGCTAATTCCCTCATTGCTATGATGTTCCTTTGTCTTTATGCATGGATCACAGGTGGAGGCGGGCAAGATGCAGCTAGAAGTGTTGGAGTTTGACATAGTGGGCGAGCTCGAGTCGCTGGTCGACATGTTCAGCGCGCTAATTCCCTCATTGCTATGATGTTCCTTTGTCTTTATGCATGGATCACAGGTGGAGGCGGGCAAGATGCAGCTAGAAGTGTTGGAGTTTGACATAGTGGGCGAGCTCGAGTCGCTGGTCGACATGTTCAGCGCGCTAATTCCCTCATTGCTATGATGTTCCTTTGTCTTTATGCATGGATCACAGGTGGAGGCGGGCAAGATGCAGCTAGAAGTGTTGGAGTTTGACATAGTGGGCGAGCTCGAGTCGCTGGTGGACATGTTCAGCGTGCAGGGGCTCAGCAACGGCACTGAGATCGCCCTTGACCTCTCTGACGACATCGACAGGACGGTTAAAGGGGATCCCTCCAGAGTCCGACAGGTGAGATGAGAGTTAGAGTCGCTGATCCAGTCGCTGCTCAAGTCGCTGCTAGAAACGCTGCTCGAGTCGCTGGTCTAGCGTGCAGGTGTGAGAAAACGTGAGAAAGAACCATTAATGATCTTAGGAATGGAGGGGGTATACATAGTTGTGCTAGGAGGGATGGTTTGGTTGTGAGCCTAGCCAACATTATTGGCCCCCACCAATGAGTTGGGTTGAGGAATTATTGGGGGGACCAATAATGTTGACCAAAGGTGGTTCAACATTATTGGGGGGGCCAATAATTCCCAACCCAACCTTGGGGGCCAAGTGTTGAGTTCCAACCCCCAATTAGGGTTAGCCCTAGCTCTACACCCAAACTACATTTGGGTGTCTACCTCTAGCCGTAGCTTATAGGATAGATGCAGGTTACAAGTGAGGATGGTATTCTAACAGCAGGGGCTCAGCAACGGCACCGAGATCGCCCTTGACTTGTCCGATGACATTGACAGGACGGTCAAGGGAGACCCATCTAGGGTCAGACAGGTGAGAGCATGCCCATCCAGGGTCAGACAGGTGAGATGAGAGCTAGCGTTGCTGCTCAAGTCTCTGGTTGAGTCACTGCTCTAGTCACTGGTGGACATGTTCAGTGTGCAGGGGCTCAGCGACGGCACCGAGATCGCCCTTGATCTCTCTGACGACATAGATCGGACGGTCAAGGGCGACCCGTCTCGCGTCAGACAGGTACGGCCTTGCCATGTGCCGTGCGCCTTCCACGTGCCGCCCGCCCTCCTCCCCGCTTTCCACCCCACCGCCTTCCTCCACGTGCCCCTTCCACTAACGCCGGCCCTCTTCCCCGCTTCCTCGACCCCCACGGTCTCACGCCCACCTCCCTGCTTTCTCCTGCCCCTGTGTTTCCTCTTCCCCATCGTTTTCCTTCCCCAGCCCCGTCTCTTTTGCTTCTCATGCTGTCTCGGCCCATCCCTCTGCTCCCCCTCCACTCCCCCCACCCACCCCCCTTCACCACTTTCCTCTTATTTCTGCCTTCTACGTTCTCCCTTCTCTGATCCCTCTCACCACTTCGCCTCCTGCTCCCGCTCCCTGTCCCTCTCCTGCTCCCTCTCCCTCTCCCTCTCCCTCTCCCTCTCCCTCTCCCTCTCCCTCTCCATCTCCCTCTCCCTTGCCGTTCCTCTTAGGTGTTCGCGAATCTACTCAGCAACGCGTGCAAGTTCACCAAGAACGGCCAGGTGGTGGTGATTTATTTTACTGTCCCCTTTTTCCTCCTCCCCAACCCCCCTGCACTGTACCTTGATCCCCCCCCTCTCTCAGGTGTTTGCGAATCTCCTGAGCAACGCGTGCAAGTTCACCAAGAACGGGCAGGTGGTGGTGCGGGGGTGGGTGCGGGACAGACCGCCCCCGCAACTGGCAAAGCAGGACCTCTCCATCCCGGGGGAGAAGGGCAAGTGAGTGGGGTTGGGGAGGGGGAGAGGGGTGCGGAATAAAAGTGGTGGGAGGAGAAATGGAGGAGGAGAGAGGGGTTGGGTGGGAGAGGGGGGAGGAGAAGGGGGGGCGATGAATCAAGAAGAGAAGTAGAGCCTCTCATTTCTGCTTACTCTCCCTTCCTGCTTTCCCAATCCTTGCCTTCCACACTCTCCCTTCCCTAACCTCCAACCCCTTCCCCCCCAGTAGCCGGCAGCACAGCAGGTCCAAGAGCCGAGTTGTGGACAATGCAGCAGCAAGGTGATGTTGAATAGGAGTGGACAACCCATCCCATCCCCCATCCCATCCCCTCCCCAACCCCCTTCTCCCCAGCAGTCGGCAGCACAGCAGGTCCAAGAGCCGAGTTGTGGACAATGCAGCAGCAAGGTGATGTTGAATAGGAGTGGACAACCCATCCCATCCCCCATCACATCCCCTCCCCAACCCCCTTCTCCCCAGCAGTCGGCAGCACAGCAGGTCCAAGAGCCGAGTTGTGGACAATGCAGCAGCAAGGTGATGTTGAATAGGAGTGGACAACCCATCCCATCCCCCATCCCATCCCCTCCCCAACCCCCTTCTCCCCAGCAGCCGGCGGCACAGCAGGTCCAAGAGCCGTGATGTGGACAACGCTGCAGCAGCGGACATAGGGGCGCCAGGAGTGGCGGGGGCGGGGGTGGGAGGGGGGCAGCAGGGCGGGGGGGGGGCAAGGCGAGGCGGACGGTGACGTTTATGTTTGAGGTGGATGACACGGGGCCGGGCATTCGTCCTTACCCTGCTTCCCCGTTCTTCGCTCTCTGTCTTCCCTCCCTTCCCCCCAACCCCCTTCTTCAAAGCAGCAGGCGGCACAGCAGGTCCAAGAGCCGTGATGTGGACAATGCTGCAGCAGATGCAGCAGGGGGAGGAAGCGTTGTGATGGGCGGGGGAACAGGGGGCGAGCAGGGCGGGGGCAAGGCGCGGCGGACAGTGACTTTTATGTTTGAGGTGGATGACACGGGGCCGGGCATCCCCGTGCACAAGCGGGAGTCCATATTTGAAAATTTCCAACAGGCTGATGTGTCCACTGCCAGGACGCACGGTGGCACAGGTGAGGTGCAGTGGGGTGGGGTGGGGTGAGGCAGGGTGGGGGGTAGTGGAGTGGGGTGGGGTGGGGTAGGTTGGGGTCTCCACTTGTTTGAGGTGGATGACACGGGGCCGGGCATTCCCGTGCACAAGAGAGAGTCTATTTTCGAGAACTTTCAACAGGCAGATGTGTGTACTGCCCGCACACATGGTGGCACAGGTGGGGTGTGGTTGGTTGGGGTGAGGTGGGGTGGTGGGAGGGGAGGCACGTTGGGGTTTATGTTTGAGGTTGATGACACGGGGCCAGGCATTCCTGTGCACAAGAGAGAGTCCATTTTCGAGACTTTCCAACAGGCTGATGTGTCCACTGCCAGGACGCACGGTGGCACAGGTGAAGTGGGGTGTAAGATACTGCAACAGGGTGGAGAGGAATGCTGTGGTGTGGAGTGCGATGGGCAGGGGTTTTCACTTGTATGTAGCTCACTGAGGCTGGTCCATGGTAAGACCACTCCACAGTTGTCAGTCACCTGTGTTCCACCCTCCCCCAGCAAAGGCCTTCTCACCACCACTCCACCCTTTGCACCACCCTTGCCACCCTGCCACCGTCCCTGAAGAAGTGTTTTGTTTCGTTGTCCTAAACAACACGAGTTGATGGAAGTAAGGCCTCCGCAGCCCACCTGTCCTCTCTTGACAGCTCCACCCTTTGCACCACCCTTGCCACCCTGCCACCGTCCCTCCCCGCTCCCATACGCCCTTTTGCTGCTGTGCCATGTCTCGGTCGGCCTTTTGGGCCGACTCAAAGTCGGCCCCAGCCTGGGAATCGTTCACTCAATGGTAATCCACCCACAATCATGCTCACTTCTCTCCCCTTTCCCCTTACCTTTCCTTTCCCCTCGCTCCTCCCCATCCCCCTCCCCATCCTTCTCCCCATCCCCTCCCCCTTCCCCATTCCCCTCCTGTTCCACCGTCCCACTCCCACATCTGTTTTTGCTGTTCCCAGGTCTTGGATTGGGAATCGTTCGCTCCCTGGTAAGCCACCCACACGTTCCCTTCCTCTTGACCATCCCCCTCTCCTTCCCCTTACTCTTCCACTTCCCCTCCCTTCCCGTTCCCCACCCTTATCCCCACATCTTTTGCCATCTCTGCTTGTATACATCCTCCCAGCTTTCTTTGGTATTTTGTAACCTCATTCGTTAACCCATCTCTTTTCGTGACTCCGTGTGTAACTGTACATGTAAAACCCATGTGTACCAATTTGTAACCCCATGTGTAACCCCGTGTGACCCCATGTGTAACCCCGTATGTAACCCCATGTGTAACCGCGTGTGTAACCCCATGTGTAACCTGTGTGTAACAACAGGTGAACCTGATGGGCGGGTCGATAGCTGTGGTGGACAAGGATGGGCAGTTTTCAAGAGATTGCAATAGCATAAGTTGCATATGTCAATGTGTGACCCAATGTATAACCCCATGTGTGTGCAACAACAACAGGTGAACCTGATGGGCGGGTCGATAGCTGTGGTGGACAAGGACGGGCAGGGGGCACGGTTCCGCTTCGACATGCGGTTTGAAGCGGTGGAGGGCGGTGGAGGGTGGCACAACAGCATGCTGCAGCCGGAGCTGCTGCTGCCCAAGCTGACTGCCGTGGAGGGCGGGCAGGTGAGAACGGGAAGGGGGGAGAGGGCGCAGGTGAGGAGGAAGAGGGGGGGCGTGAGGGGATGTGGGTGGAGGAAGCAGGGGGGGGAGGGTAGGTGAGAAAAGGGGGGAAGAGGAGGAAGGCAGGTAGGACCGACCAAGGGAGAGTGAGAATTAGTAAGAACAGGTGAGAGAGAAATCGAAGGCGAGATGGGCAGCGTGGGGAGGGTCGGAGGGTGGCACAACAGCATGCTGCAGCCAGAGCTGCTGCTGCCCAAGCTGACTGCCGTGGAGGGCGGGCAGGTGAGGAGCAGGGTAGGGGTTGGCCGGGGGGATGTGGTGGAAGAGGTGGGGGAAGGGCAGGTGAGCAGGGAAGAGGGGAAGCGATGGAGGGCAGGTGGGAAGGGAACTGGGGCGAGGGCAGGGGGAGTGAGGAGGGCAGTTGGGACCAAAGGAAAGTGAGGGCTAATACGAATGGGGACGGCGCCTGAGCTGCCATCCCCACAGCATGGATGGAATGGAATGGCACAAGCTCAAGGTGTGGCGCTCACTCTGCCTGCTTGCCTTTTCGTCTCTTCTTCCCCCTCTGCTCCCTCCTCATCCCTCCCAGGTTCTGCTCGCAATGAATGGGGACGGCGCCTGAGCTGCATCCCCACTGCATGGATGGAATGGAACGGCGCAAGATCAAGGTGTGGCGCTCACTCCACCTACGTGCCTTCTCGTCCTCTCTCCCCCTCACCCCCGCCCTCCCCTCTGCTCACCCCCGCCCTCCCCTCTGCTCACCCACCTCCTCAGTTCCTTCTCGCAATGAAGGACGGCAGTGCCGGTGCAGCCATTGCCACAGCCTGGATGGAGCGGCGCAAGCTCAAGGTGTCAAGTGAGGTGACTGCAGCCTGCCAGTGCCAGATAATCTCCCTTCCACCTTCCCAATCTCCCCTCTCCCCCTTACGTCCCTTATCAGGTCCTGCTGGCAATGAAAGAGGACAGTGCAGGGGCGGCCATAGCAACGGCCTGGATGGAGCGGCGCAAGCTCAAGGTGTGGCGGGCGCACACGTGGCAGGAGATCATGCCAGCTGTCGCCTCCATTCTCATCCAGAAGTCCGCCGCCTCGCAGCCGCCCCGCGCCTCGCGCTCCCTCGTGGGCTTCTCTGCGCCGCTCATGCGGAGTTTTACTGCTCTGAGAGGGGGAGGGGGGGAGAAAGGGGAGAAAGGGGAGAAAGGGGAGAAGGGGGAGAAGGGGGAGAAGGGGGAGAAGGGGGAGAAGGGGGAGAGAGGGGGGGTTGTTGCTGCGGGAGGAGCGGTGGGGGGAGGAGGCGTGGGAGGTGGTAGTTTTGGTGCTGGTGGTGGCGGCAGCTGCAGCAACGGTGGTGGTGGTGGTGGTGGGGTTGGGAGTGGTGCAGGTGGGTTCAGTCCGATGGTGGATAAAGCGAGGTCAGCTGTAGGCTGGCGGAGCCCCTCCCCTCGATCCCACGACTCCTTACCAGTACCTGTAGCGCCATCGCCAGCGGCTGTAGCAGCAGCTGTGGCAGCGGCTGTAGCAGCAGTGCCAGGCGGACCTGGGGGAGGGGGGGCAGGTGGGACCTCCCCCAGACCAGCCACCCCTGATCAGACCACCCCCCCCCTGTCAGGGCCTATGCAGGCGCAGCTGGGGCAGGTGGTATCTGAATCAGGCGGACCCGGGCAGGGGCAGGGGCAGAGAGAGGTTTGGAACCGGCTTCCCTCACCCTCCCATCCTCTGGGCAACGGGCGAATTCTCAGCAGCCCCGGGCGCTGCTTTGGCAGCCCTGCTGCTGCAAGCACATGCGGGGACAGCGAGGAGGGGGGGGATATCGGGGACGGGGGAGCGGGGGAGGGGGGCGACGGGGGGAAGGAAGGAGGGGAAGGAGCGGGAGCGGGTGGAGCGGGAGTTTCAGGGAGAGGGAGGGCGATGGGGATGGTGAAGAGTTTCGGCAGCAGCAGCAGCAGGTTACTGGGGCGGGCTATGAGCAGCAAGGCCCGACGGTCCCTGGAGAAGCAGGGTAGCAGCCGTGGGTCAGACCAGGATCCTTCGTTTTCCAGCCATGGCTCTACCTCCAACTCCACCACTGCACCCGCTGATACTTCTGCTGGTGCTGGTGCTGCTGCTGGTGCTGGTGGTGCTGCTGGTGCTGGTGGTGCTGCTGGTGCTGGTGGTGTTGCTGGTGGTGGTGCGCTAGGCACGCCCCCCAATGGCCTCGCGTCGCTGTCCTTTGATGGGACAATAGGCAGGGAGCAGCAGGGGTTGCTGAGTGGGCCGTTAGCGCATGGGAGCATCGGCTCCCGGTCGATGGGATCAGGGTTGCTTGGAGGGAGAGGCGGGCCGGGGGGTGTGGGGTCCGACAAAGACGGCTCGATCGCTGCTGCTGCCGCCGCTGCTGTTGCTGCTGTTGAATCCGAAGGTCCTGCTGGTGGCGGCGGCGGTGGCTGCTGCTGCTGCTGCTGCTGTTCCTGCTGCTACCTCAGCTTCTGTTCGAGGATCCTTCCTCTCCGCTGCATCCCCCTCACGAGTCGTCCCGGCGTCCCCCTCCCGGCTCATCCCAGCCTCCCCGCCTTCAGCAGCAGCGCAAGCATCGTCCTCCTCGTCGGCCTCTACAGGCCAGGCGTCCTCCTCCTCCTCTACGGCCCGGCCGGCGTCGAAGCTGATGCTGGCGGTGATAGACGTGGCCATCGTTCCCAACGTGCACCAGTTTATAGCGGAGGAGCTTCATATATTCCGGGCTCGTCTGCAGCACCAGGGGTTTGTGATTGCCTGGTTGGTCGAGCACAACACGTCAGCGGATACTAGGCGGGCTCTCAGAAGGTAAGGGCGCCCAGAAGGTAGGCTGAGCAGCACAAGCATCATCCTCCTCCTCTGCCTCCTCCTCCTCCACAGCGCGGCCGGCGTCGAAGCTGATGCTGGCGGTGATAGATGTGTCGATTGTTCCCAACGTGCCTGGTTGGTCGAGCACAACACCTCGGCAGACACTAGGCGCGCACTCAGGAGGTAAGAATTCTCAGTCAGACTGTAGGTTCTGGCAGGCAGGCAGGCAGGGCAGGCAGGTGAGTAAGGAAGCTGATGCTGGCGGTGATAGACGTGGCCATCGTTCCCAACGTGCACCAGTTCATAGCGGAGGAGCTTCACATATTCCGGGCTCGCCTGCAGCACCAGGGGTTTGTCATCGCCTGGCTTGTGGAGCACAACACGTCTGCAGATACCAGGCGCGCGCTCAGAAGGTGAGTGCAAAACAGCCCAAGCATCGTCCTCCTCTGCCTCCTCCTCTGCCTCCTCCTCTGCCTCCTCCTCCACAGCCCGGCCGGCGTCGAAGCTGATGCTGGCGGTGATAGACGTGTCTATTGTGCCCAACGTGCACCAGTTCATTGCAGAAGAACTCCATATATTCCGTGCTCGCCTGCAGCACCAGGGCTTTGTTATAGCATGGTTGGTGGAGCACAACACCTCGGCGGATACCCGGAGGGCTCTCAGAAGGTAGGTTCTGGGAGGGCAGGAGGTACGTCCAGGAGGTAGGCAGGCAGGGCAGCAGGCAGGTAGGTTAGTATCAAAGCTGATGCTGGCGGTGATAGACATGTCGATCGTTCCCAACGTGCACCAGTTCATAGCGGAGGAGCTTCATATATTCCGGGCTGGCCTGCAGCACCAGGGGTTTGTGATTGCCTGGTTGGTCGAGCTCAACACCTCTGCTGATACAAGGAGGGCGCTTAGGAGGTAAATTCTGTGAGGTAGGTTCTGCTTGCCCTGGCGACGGCTAGGAAGAGCGTGCCACTCTCAAACTCACAACTCCAACACCCTCGTCATGCTCATTCCCCACCCCTTTTGAGGCGCCTCAAAAGTCGCCTCAAAAGTCGCCTCAAAAGCACCCTCGTCATGCTCATTCCCTTTTGAGGCGCCTCAAAATGCATCACACCCTCGTCATGCTCATTCCCTTTTGAGGCGCCTCAAAATGCATCACACCCTCGTCATGCTCATTCCCCACCCCTTTCCACCCCCCATGCCTCTCTCTCTCTCGCTAAACTTGCCCCTCAATACACAGGTCGGGGTGTACAGTGGCATCCAAGGCCCTCTATGCTTCTAGAATGCCCCTCTGCTCGCCCTGGCGACTGCCAGGAACAGCTTGCCACACTCAAGCTCTCATCCCCCTTTCCTCCTCCCCACCCATGCGCAGGTCGGGGTGTGCAGTGGCGTCCAAGCCCCTGTATGCTTCCCGCATGGCTCCTCTCCTTGCTCTGGCGACTGCCAGGAACAGTGTGCCGCACTCGAGCTCACAAATTGACATGCCCCGCACGGTGGGGGGGAGGGGCGGACGCGGGGGAGAGGGGGGAGGGGAAGGAGGGGGCGCGCAGTGGCACCACAGTGAGGCAAACGAACGGGTGAGTAGAGTGCCTTGGTTTCACACTTTTGAGAAGAGCGCGCCGCACTCGAGCTCTGCTGCTGGCCCTCTTGCCGGGACTCTGCTGGCCCTGGCAACGGCCAGGAACAGTGTGCCTCACTCGAGCTCACAAATCGACATGCCACGCACAGTGGGGGGGAGGGGCGGACGCGGGGGAGATGGGGGAGGCGAAGGAGGCGGAGTGGGAGGCTCGCAGTGGCATCATGGGGAGGCAAACGAGCAGGTAGTTGCTGACAAATGCTGTTGTTTCTGTACTGCTGCTGCTGCCGCCGCCGCCGCCGCCACTGCTGCCGTTGCTGTTGCCACTCACTCCCACTCTCCCCCCCTCCCCCACTTCACCAGGCATGGAGCCTGCCAGCGCCAGCAGAGGAGGTCGAGCCTGCCAGCGCCAGCAGAGGAGGTCGAGTCGGCCGACTCCCCAGCAGCCGCTGGTGGTGCTGCTGCCACTCACTCTCACCCTCTTCCATCTCTCCCCTTCTTCCCTCACCCCTCCCTCTCTCCTCCCCCCCCACCGGGCATTGGGCCTGCCAGCGCCAGCAGAGGAGGACGAGTCAGCCGACTCCCCAGCAGCCAGTAGGTGGTGCTTTTGAGACGTCTCAAAAGCAGCCAGTGGGTGGTGCTGCTGCTGCCATTCACTCTCACTCACTCCTTTTCTCACCCGTTTTTGCTCCTATCCCCCCTCCCCATCTCCCCCAACCCCACCAGGCGTGGGGCCTGCCCTACCAGCGCCAGCAGAGGAGATCGAGTCAGCCGACTCCCCAGCAGCTGCTGGAGGTGCCACTGCCGCTGGTGGTTCTGCTGCTGCCACTCTCTCTCACTCTCCTCCATCCCCCCCTCTCCCCCATCACCAGGCGTGGGGCCTGCAAGCGCCAGCAGAGGAGGGCGAGTCAGCCGACTCCCCAGCAGCCGCTGGTGGTGCTGCTGCCACTCACTCTCACTCTCCTCCATGCTTGTCCCTGCCCTCATCTCGCCCCCCACCCCCCTCCCCCTACCCAGCAGGCGTGGGGCCTACCAGCGCCAGCAGAGGAGGACGAGTCGGCCGACTCCCCAGCAGCCTCCTCCACCGCACTGCGCAACACTGCTGCCGTCTCTGTCCCATTCTCCCCCTGCCCTCGCCCCTCCGCCTCCACACCCAATGCTGGTGGTTCTGCCGCCGCTGCCACTGCTGCTGCCACTGCTGCTGCTGGTGTTGCCTCTGCTGCTGGTGGTGCGGGGGGAGTGGCTGTATCTGGCTATCCCCCTCCCTCGGGCCGCGGGCCCCCCCTTCCCTCCCCACACGCCACTGCGGCCGCCTCCCCCCACGGCCTCCCCTCCGGCCGGCCCCCTATTCCCTCGTCCACGAGTGTGGAAGGCACCGGGCCGGCCCCAACTGATGGTGCTGCTGCTGGCGCTCCTGGGATGGGAACTGCAGCGGCAGCAGCAGGGGGGGCGTTGGAGTCGTCGCCAGGGTCGCGATCGGGCAGGATGCGGCCGGTCAACAGCGGGCTCAAGAAAGGGGTGAGTGCTGTGCTCCTCCTTGTTCGGCTTTCTGTTGTTTTCTATTGTTTTCCGACCCTTTGAGTGGGGCCGTTGGAATTGTCTCCTGGCTCGTGGTCAGGCAGGATGCGGCCAATCAACAGCGGGCTCAAGAAAGGGACCCGCTTCACTTCACCCCCCCACCTCTCCAACCCCCCCCCACCCATTGCTTCAAAAAAGAGGTTTTTTTTTTCTTCTTCTTTTTTCTTTTTTTTCTTTCTTTCTTTCTTCTTCTTCTTCTTCTTTCTTTTTCAAAAAAAAAAAAAAAATTTACTGCTGGTTTTAATCCAAAACCCCTTACCCTACTTTCCCGCCTTGCATGATGATTCCACCGGCTCTTCACTCCCTCTCCCCCAGGCGTCCTTCTCGGAGGGCTCATTTGACAACGCGCTGGCGGGCAAGCGCGTGCTGATTGCTGAGGACACGGCTCTGCTGCGCAAGGTGAGACGGTGGGAAGCCGTCTTTGCGTCTGTGGTAGATGAGGCAGCACTGAGAGATATTGTGGAATGCGATTGTCAATGTGCTAGCGGGCGGGTGGGGACTCGTTTGACAACGCGCTGGCGGGCAAGCGCGTGCTGATTGCTGAGCACACGGCTCTGCTGCGCAAGGTGAGGTCGGGGGGAAATAGCAGCGGCAAGCAGTGTGGTACCGTGGTGGGCAATGTGTTGTTTTCTGACGGGTGGGGTAGGAAGTGCGCTGGCGGGCAAGCGCGTGCTGATTGCTGAGGATACGGCTCTGCTGCGCAAGGTGAGGGGGTAGGGTAGCTTGGCAACGGGGGCGGTGAGGTGAGACCAAGGAGCAAGTGTTCCTTCTGCCCATGTAACAGTCGTGCCTGGAGAAGCAGCGGCAAGCGCGTGCTGATTGCTGAGGATACGGCTCTGCTGCGCAAGGTGAGGCGCTGGTGGGGTAAGCTGTGTGATTCTATATTCGTGTGACTTTTGAGGATTCTCAGAAGCCACACGAACAAGCTGTGTGATGCTGAGCTCCTTGACGCGAATTCTCGTTCAAAGTTGTTTAGGGGCAGCAAGTTGTTGTGTAGTGCAAGGGGCAGCAAGTTGTTGTGTAGTGCAAGGGACAGCAAGTTGTTGTGTAGTGCAAGGGGCTGCAAGTTGTTGTGTAGTGCAAGGGACAGCAAGTTGTTGTGTAGTGCAAGGGGCAGCAAGTTGTTGTGTAGTGCAAGGGGCAGCAAGTTGTTGTGTAGTGCAAGGGACAGCAAGTTGTTGTGTAGTGCAAGGGGCAGCAAGTTGTTGTGTAGTGCAAGGGGCAGCAAGTTGTTGTGTAGTGCAAGGGGCAGCTAGTTGTTGTGTAGTGCAAGGGGCAGCAAGTTGTTGTGTAGTGCAAGGGGCAGCAATTTGTTGTGTAGTGCAAGGGGCAGCAAGTTGTTGTGTAGTGCAAGGGGCAGCAAGTTGTTGTGTAGTGCAAGGGGCAGCAAGTTGTTGTGTAGTGCAAGGGGCAGCAAGTTGTTGTGTAGTGCAAGGGGCAGCAAGTTGTTGTGTAGTGCAAGGGGCAGCAAGTTGTTGTGTAGTGCAAGGGGCAGCAAGTTGTTGTGTAGTGCAAGGGGCAGCAAGTTGTTGTGTAGTGCAAGGGGCAGCAAGTTGTTGTGTAGTGCAAGGGGCAGCAAGTTGTTGTGTAGTGCAAGGGACAGCGTCTGATCTGCATTCCTTGCTCCCCATCTGTTACCGTTCTTACCACTCTCCCACATTCTTATCTCCATGCTTTGAGGTACACGTGACTGACGCGTGAGAATTGAGCCGGGCTCATGTCTACTTTGGGCTGCCACTCACCACACGTCTGAGGCGCCACATTTTTAGGCGCCACATCTTCTATGCGCTTCAAAGCCCTCGCACCGTTACCGCTCTCCCACATTCTCTTCTCCATCCCCACTCCCCACCCCACCAGGTGGCCATAATCCGGATGCAGAAGCTGGGCTGTGAGGTGGAGGCGGTGTGTGACGGGCAGCAGGCAGTGGATGCGGTGCTGGCCACCTATGCCAGCAACACAGGGCGGTTCGATGCGGTGCTGATGGATTGCCAGGTGTGTGAGCTTGTCTTGACTTTAGGCATGCCAGTCTGGGTGTGCACTGGTGTGTGACGGGCAGCAGGCAGGCAGTGGATGCGGTATTGGCCACCTATGCCAGCAACACAGGGCGGTTCGATGCGGTGCTGATGGATTGCCAGGTGCGTGAGCTTGCCTCCACGGGTATGTCTGTGCGTATGTGCATGTGTGTGTGTGCGCGCGCGTATGTGTGCGTGGGTGCGCACGCGTATGTGTGCGTGGGTGCGCGCGCGTATGTGTGCGTGGGTGCGCGCGCGTATGTGTGCGTGGGTGCGTGCGTGTATGTGTGCGTGGGTGCGCGCGTGTATGTGTGCGTGGGTGCGCGCGTGTATGTGTGCGTGGGTGCGCGCGTGTACACGCGTGCTTGCATTATAACTTCCCCTTGGAAATGTCCGCACCCCCTTCCCCACTCCCCACTCCCCCTTCCCCCATTCCCGCAGATGCCTGTGACCAGGGACCATCGCGAGTGCCTTCTTGCCCCTCCCACCCTCCCTCTTGCCCGTTCTTCCCCCATTCCCGCAGATGCCTGTGTTGGACGGGTACGGAGCAACAGCAGCCATCAGGGCAGGGGAGGTGGGCACGCCTTTCCACACGCCCATAGTGGCGCTCACAGCCCACGCCATGACCAGCGACCATCGCAAGTGCCTCGATGCGGGCATGGATGCTTATTTGACCAAGCCCATCGACCCTGCGCTCATGTCCCGCACGCTGCTGGGTTTGATGGCTAAACACCCTGTAGCTGCTGCTGCCACTCCTCCTCGTCCTGCTACTGCTGACTCCTGAATCCCTGGATGCACGCACCCTACACGCCATGACCAGCGACCATCGCAAGTGCATGGGAGCGGCCACAGCACATGCCATGACCGCAAGTGCCTCGACGCGGGCATAGACGCTTATCTCACCAAGCCCATCGACCCTGCTCTCATGTCCCGCACACTCCTAGGCCTCATGGCAAAACACCCTGTAGATGCCGCAGCTCCTCCTCCTGCTGCTGCTGCTCCTGCTGCTGCGGATTCCTGACTGCTGAGTGCCTGCTCAGTTTTCAAGTAGGCATGGCAATAGGCATGTCCGGCCGATGGCCACTGCAACTCCTGGCCGTCTGTAACATATGGTATGTCTCTCGCTCTACCCGCCACCAGCTTGCTTGCTTTTTCTTGCTTGTTTGATGCACCAAGACATTGTAATCACGCAGCGGAGTATTGATACGTGTTGCCTGACTGGACTGTACCTCCAAAAGCGTATTTTATGCGTATATTTGTTCTTGCTTTTTAAGTACCCTTCGCTTTGAAGCGCCTCGATAGGGGAGCAGAGTTAAGCACTGCGTCAGTTCAGGCCCGCCTTGGTTGAACCTGGCTTGGCGTTTGTTTAAGAGTCGAGTGGTTGGGTGTAATTTTGTCAATTAGAGAACAA